AATACAAAGGACCCTGCAAAGAATCAACCAAGAAAATCTTCCCTGAGGCACATCACAGCCAGATTGACCAAAACCACAGACAAGAGACAAGATGCTAAAATTGGCAAAAGTGAAACATCCAATTACTTTCTTTTCTTTTTTTTTTCGGAGAGGTTTTTTATGCTATAGGGCGCGTGCACTCCCCAGACAGACAGAGAGAGACATAGAGACAGAAAGCGAGAAATCACCCCCCAGAGGGGATGGTCACGCCGCAATCCCTTCTCCTCCATGGATCTTGGGCACGCACGCACACACGCCCGGCGTGAGTTTTAAGCCACCCGGTCTGGGACACGAACCGCGGTCGACTACGTGGGAATCCAGCGACATAGCCATTATGCTAACTGCTGGTTCCCCATCCAATTACTTTCAAAGGATATCCCATAAGGCTAACATTGGACCTCTCATTTGAAACAATGCAAGCAAGGAAAGAATGGGAAAATATATTCAAAGTGTTAAGTCAAAAACAATTTTAACAAAGAATACTGTACCCAGCAAGATTATCTTTCATATGGGGGAAAAAAGACAAAAGCATTCTCAGAAAAAAACAAAACATGAAAGAATTTACCAGCACCAGACCAGCTCTCCAAGAAGTGCTGAAGGGAGTGCTGTACCAGGAAAACTAAAGTCGGACACACAGAAATAAGAGGACAAGAAACAAGCAAGAGAATAGCCAGCCTAATGGTAGGGACAGGTCCGGAGCTGAATGTTAACTTCCAGAGTTTAATGGAAAGCTCAGACCACAGTAACACTGCAAATTCAATAGAAGAGAGAGTAATTACATGAGTCTGAACTAGTGAAATAGAATGTTTTTACTTTGGACTAAAACATTACTGATTTTCTTCGATGCTTTGATTTTCATATTTAAGGATTTTTGTCTTCTCTTGAACTGTTGATAGGTTCATCTACCTACTATTTGAAATAAATCCTAAACTTTTTCCTGGCTTTAAATTTTAAGCTAAAACTAAACTTTTTAAATTAAAAAATGCATTAAAAATACCTACGAGTAGGTATTTTAAAATAGGTCATTAAAGAGGTCATGAAATTATACCTATGTAATGACTGATTGCAGTAAGCTATATAGCCCCAGCAAGGTGCTACTTTATGTTTATTTTACTCACTGAGGTTTACACCTAAAGTCAGACATGCATTCATAAATATGTGTATATCAGCTGTGCTTGCTATTTAAAGTCTTTAAATTAAGATCTTTAGTGACTCAATAAAATGTGTAAAGAAAAAAAGTAGTAAATTATGACCTTTTTGGGTTTATCCTAGGAATGCATGGGTGGTTGAACACTTCAGTGTCAATCAATGTTATTTACTATGCTAACACACTGAAAAAATAGAACTGCATAATTACCTCATTAGGTGTAGGAAAAAGGCATTTAACAAAATCCAAGATTTTTTTCCTGATAAAAACCTTTTTTTAATTTATAAGGTTTTTATTTTTTTTTTTAATTTGCCAGAGAGTACATGTGCTCACCAGAGAGAGATAGAGAAAGAAAGAGAGAGAGAGAGAGGAAGGGAAGGAAAGTGAGAAAGTCACCATGGTCACACCACCATCTCTCCTCCATTTCTCCTTGCTTTCGGCGTTCTGGGCATGCTCACACATGTGCCCTGCATGTTTCTCAAGCTGCCAAACCTGAGATTCCAACTCCACAGTTGGCCATGTGGAATCTGCTACCTTGACCACTATGCCACCTAATGGCCTAAAAATTCTTAATAAGCTAGGAAAATAATGGAATTTTCTCAGCCTTATAAATAGTATCTACAAAAAGCTTACAACTGACATACTTAGTGATAAAAAAACTGAATGTTTTCTCTCAGACAGAGAAAAAGACAGGCATGTCCACTTTTACCACTTCTATTTTATATACTGGAGGTTCTAGCCAGAAAAAGAAATAAAAGGTATTCTTATTAGAAAGTAAGAAGTAAAACTTATTCATAGAGCGGATGATTATCAATGCAGAAAATCCAATTAAATCTATAATAAAAGCTATTAGAACTAAAAAGTGAGCTTAGCAACATTGCATAACATAAGGGCAATATACAAATATCAATAATATTTCTAGATCCAGCAATGATCCCAGAAATTAAAGTGTGAAAAATAACAATAGCATAAAAATATTACAAAATTAGGGATAAAGCTGACAAAAGTGAATTCTACCTTGCAAATTAGAAAACATTACTGAAAGAAAGTAAAGAAAACATAAATAAATTGGATAGATCCCTCTTGTTCATTGATGAGAGGACTCAATTATTGTTACGATACCAATTTTCTCCAAATTAATCTATAGAGTCAACACAGTCTCAATCAAAATAACAGAGGTCCTTTTTATTGGGGGGGAGGTTTAAAAATTGACAAGCTAAGTCTAGATTGTGTATGGAAATACAAAGGACTTAAAATAGCCACAACAACTCAGAAAAAGAAGAAAAATTGGAAAGCTAGCATTATCCAATTTTTAAGAATTATTATAAAGCTACAATAATCAAAAAAGCATTGAACAGGTGTAAAGATACATACATAGATAAATAGAACAGAATCAAACATCTAGAAATAAATCCACACACATATGTAAAGCTTACTTTTTTTTTTTTTGGCCAGAGGACATGTGTATTCACCAGAGAGAGACAAGACAGGGAGAAAATACCTTCCAATGGGACCTGGTCACACTGCAATCTCTTCTCCATTTCTCCATCCCATTGGGATTCTGGGCATGCCTAACATGTTTTTCAAATTGCCAAGACCGGAATTCAAACTACAAAGTCAGCCACATGGGATCCAGCTCTCTCAACCACTAGCCACAGGGATGGCCGTACAACTGACTTTATTTTTTAGGTTTTTGCCATAGGGTGCGTGTCCTCTCCAGAGAAAGAGCCAGGAAGAGATAAAATGAGAATCACCCCTGAAGGGGGATGGCCATGCCACAGTCCTTTCTCTGTTCCCGTCTCAAGATTTTGGGCACATACACACACTCACCTGGTGTGAGCTTCAAGTGACCAGATCCCAGATTCAAACTGTGGTTGGCCATGTGGGAGTCTAGCATCTTAACCACCCTGCCCTCTGCTGGTTCCAAAAGTTTTATTTTTCATGTTTAAAAATCTTTACAATTTTCAAGAAAATAAAAATAAAATAATGTAGTAAGCTAGTGCGCTGGACCTACCACTCAGCTTCAGTAATTATCAACATCTGACCAATATTTTCATTGACCGATTCATTCATAGATAGGGCCTCAACATATAATGGTCCTCCTACCTCAACCTCCACGGTAGCTGTTGGACTGCAGGCTCGTACCACTACTTCTGACTTTCAGGGTTTATTCAGGCCCTCATGTGGCCTCAGCCTTCCACGTAACAGCATCTACTAGTGCATACTTAGGCTCACCATGGCAAAGCCACCAGTACTATTTAATTTTACTTTACAAATTCAAGGGATTATGTTTTGAAATATTGTAAAGTTCTAGTCACATAGCTGTGTACATTTCTTATTAAGCTTATTCCTGGGCATTTTATCTCATTGTTGTTTACATATATAAGATTTATTTCTGTACATTAGTTTTGTACCCTTTCATTATTTGAAAAGTATTCGTCTATGCTAATTTGAGTTTGTTAGTCTGAAAAAATAAATTACAACCCTTCATAATTTGTCAACCAGACTTTGCCTGTGCATTTATCTGTTCTATCAGTTATGAATATACCAAAATTAGAGGTATAAACTAGTACAGTAAACTACGCTCTTGTTCCAAACGGTGACTGTGGCCTGAAACATAATGAGCAACCCATGTAATGGCACAGCACACTTACCTGGAATTTCTATCCTGTAAGGCTCTCTGTTAAGATGTGAAAAACTTGGACCGTCTTCGGTTTCTTGCAACTTTGTAATGTAGGTACGCTGGCTAGCATTGGTTCTTCCAGTAAACCTTAAAGTCTCTCTTTGGGAACCAGTATGTGGTGTAGTTGTTAGAACACTAGATTCCCACATGCACTTCCCATGGGAAACAGTCACCACAATCTCTTCTCCTTCATCTCTCTCTCTCTTTGGAAATTTGGTCACAGACATCCAGCATGTTTTTCAAACTGCCCAGTTCAAGACTCAAACTGTATAGTCAGCCATGTTGGATCCAGCTTCTTTAACCTCCAGGCCATGGGCCAGCCTAATTCTAGTTTATTTAAAAAATTATAGGAACTTTCTTTCAAAGAAAAGTGCTTTCTCTTAGATTGCAGTGAGTTACTTTATGTGACACATTTTAAATGACAAACTCAGGCCAGCCCTGTGGCTGGCCTAGTGGTTATAGGATCTGGATCCCACAGAGCCAGTTGTGCAATTCGAGTCCCACAACCAGTGGCTTGAAAAACTGTGTATGTGTGCATGCCCCAAATCTTGACAGGATGGAGGAACAGAGGAGAAGGGATTGTGGCATGGCCATGCCCCACTGGGGACATGCTTTCTCCCTCTCTCAACCTTTCTCTTTGTCTCTCCATCTCTCTCTGGGGAGTGCATGCACTCTCTAACAAGTTGTAAAATAAATAAGTGACGAATTTATCTGAATAGAGATAAATATATCTCATTAAATGATGACTTTGAGGGGAGCGATGGAGAAAACTTTGATAAGGTGCATAATATCATTGATGCTAGGTCTGACTTTGACTAAATTAAATGAATACATATCACTTTTTAAGGTAGTAATACCTCTCAGAGTTGTTATAGGCTTTAAGTAAATTCATATATTTAAGGCACTTAAAATAGCACTTGAGCACATGGTAACTTTCTAATGGGTATTTGTTAAATAAATAAAAATTAATAAAATTGAAATACAGACACATTGATTTTAAATTCAGACTGTTTAAAGGGAAAAAAACTGAAATTCCATAATCTGTCGTTTTCTTAATTCATTCTTGGTGAAGTAACTTCCTTCTTGCATATGTAAATGTTGCTCATTTAAACAACCTCTTTTGTTTGAAAGATTCTCCGATTCTCAGCCCAGTTACTTCTGCAATCAATTTAAGTGGAGCCCAGGACCTGACCCGGAATAAGAATGTTGTGAAACCGCTGGCTTTATCTTTGCAGGTGGTAGGGAAGACTTTTGCTGCAGGTGATGTTTTCCTCACTTATATTTCTTTGGTAAATACATAGTCTATAAAAGACTTGTGTGGCATTTAATTGACAAATTGATAGGAGAAAATAGAAGCTGTTTCTACCTGCCAGTTGAAGATAGAGTGGGGCTGCCTCTAGTAATGTATGAGTGTACAAGGCTTTGCGTTGTCTCGGTGCCACCAGAAGAGTCAGGGAATGACGTTTGATACACAGGGGAGACACAGCAATTCCATTCTGTTCAACAAACATTTCTTGCTATGACTAGGAACTGGAGATGCAAATATAAATAGGGCCCAATCACTGACGCCGACTGTCCTTGAAATCTAGTCACAGACATGGACCTACAACAAGGCATTTCAGTGTTCTGCAGCAGATACAATCAGCTAGGGGAGCTGTACAGAGCAGGGGATTTTAGCCAGACATTTTAGACATTATCAACAGTGAAGTCTTAAGAAACTAGTCTTCAACAATAAGGAGATACTCACTGTACAAAAGAGTGAAGGAAAAACATTTCAAATTCAGGGAACAGCAGGGCCAATGATTAAAAAGAAAAGAAAGGAAAGGAAAGGCGGAAAGAAGCATGACGTGTAAGAACCTCCAGCAGTTTGGTTAGAGTCAGAAAATGTGAAACCCACGGAGTGGCAGAAGGTGAGCAAGTGGTGGGTAAAAGGAAAGTCAGGGAGGCAAGGTGAGGCGCCTGAACTTTATAACTTGTAGAACAGGAGAATGCCATGGTCTGACCTGAACATGGGCTTGATCATTGTGGCTGCAGTGTGTAGGAAAGGAGGTGGGGAAACTAGTTGGAGATCATTAGTAGTCTAGGTGAGAAATGAGGTTCTTGGCCAGGTTAGAAATGAGGGGACAGACTGGAGAACTACTCAGGATGTGAAACCAGCAGAACTTGACTCATTAACATTGGCATGAAAGAGATGAAGGGGTCTTGGTTGACTTCCATCTTTCTGAGCTGATGATGGTGTCACCTGAGAAGGAGAATACAGAAGGAGGAGCATGTTTTCCAGGAAGAGAACATGAGCTCAATTTTGGACATGCTGAGTTAGAGATACCCCCGAGTCATCCACTTAGAGCTGTTTAACAATTATTTATCTTAGGGGGAAGTCAGGGCTGAAGATATAGACTTGGGCGAGCAATGACTTTTATAGGATCTACTTTCTGGTTAGACTAGAGACGAAAAAACTGAATTTGAGTTTAACAGCATTAAAAAAATCCATGAAATAATGGATCAGTAATCATCACAGTTACTAAATCCATGAGGTGAAAGGCTAACCTTCATAATGTGAGGTTGCAAACTCTTGAACTCACTAATCAATTGTAGTATCACAAGAAGAGAGAAGACTAGCCATGATGTGCCCTCTGATGAAAGAGTACATCAGTACTTACGAGATGCTTTGGCCGAGATGAGAACTGACAACCTCTATAGCTAATGATTAGTTTACTGAGAACATAAGGGGACAAAGGAACATTAAATGAAATATGGGTATCTAGTTATGTAAATCCAGAAAATAGGAAATGCTGTCAGGTTTTCAGTGAATTAAGAAAGGAGAAAAGAAGAAACAGAAAGAAGAAAAAGAAATGAAGTAAGAAAGGAAACAAAAAAGGAGACAAAGCCTATAAAGTAAAAGAAGTTTAGGGATAGCAGATGCATACTGGTTACATCTCTGGACTCCCACATAGTCAGCAGTGGTTCAAGTTCCGGATCCAGAGATTTACAACTTACACTGGGTGCATGTGTGTGAGTGTCCGGAATCCTGAGAGGAGAATGGAGGAGAAGGGATTGGGGTGTGGCCACCCCACCGGGGAGGTGGTTTCTCACTTTCTGTCCCACTGTCTCTCTCTCTTTCTCTCTGGCAAGTGCTTGCAACCTATAGCAAAATATGTCTCTAAAAAATAAATAAGGGACATATCGACTGAAGTCAATTTGTGAACCCTTTCTGAATCCCCATCTAAAGACAACTGTTAAAAAAAATTTCTGAGGTAGTTGGAGGAAATTGGAATACTATTAGCATATATGGTGATATTAAAAAATTATTATTGTTACTTTTAAGTATAATGATATTACAATAATGTTTTGAAACTCAGAAGTATTAATGGGTGAAATAATATGATAAAAGGTTTTGCTTCAAAACAATCCATAGCATGTATGTATGTACTGTATATTAAGGAAAGGAAGTAGGAGGTACAGATGAAGCAAAATTAGCTATGTGTTGAAAATTGGTTATTGATTAGATCTCCAGGACATTATTTTTAGGTGACTTTTTTTTTTTAAGAGGATTTTACCTTATGGCATATTCACTCACTGGAGAAAGAAAAAGAGACAATGAGAGGGAAAAATGAGAAATCGTCCCCCAGGGTGGATGGCCATGCCACAATCCTTTCTCTTTCATTCTCCTCGGATTTGGGGCATGCACGCACACACACACCCAGCATGATTTTCAAGCCACCTGTTCTGGGATACAGACCATGGTGGACCTTGTGGGAGGGAATTCAATGATATAACCGCTACGCCATCTGCTGGACCCAGCTGACATTTCATTTAAATGAAGGTACAACTCTTGTACAAGAGATCTTCAAAGTGTTCATTGAAAATGCATCTAATGAAAAAAATTTCAATTTTTTTTGCACCAACATAAACTCATTTTAATTCCTTTTTTGATGAATTTTTTTAAGTCCTCTGGTAGGCGTTTTATTTTTATTTTATTTTTTTAAGGTTTTTGCTATAGGGCATGTGTGCTCGCCAGAAAGAGAGAGAGAGACAGAGAGACAGAAAGCGAGAAATCGCCCCCCAGGGGGGATGGCCACGCTGCAATCCCTTCTCCTCCATTCTCCTCTTGGGATCTTGGGCACGCATGTACACGCACCCGGCGTGAGTTTAAGCCACCAGGTCCAGGACGCAAACCGTGGTCGACTACATGGGAGTCCAGCGACATAGCTATTACGCTAACTGCTGGTCCCAGGTGTTTTATTTTTTTAAGAGAGATTTTTTTCTATAGGGCATGTGCACTCACTGGAGAGACACAGAGAGACAAAGAGACAGAAAGTGAAAAATCACCCCCCAGGGGTTATGGCCATGCCACAATCCCTTCTTCTCCATTCTACTCTCAAGATTTTGGGCATAGACGCACATGCACCTGGTGTGACTTTCAAGTCACCAAGTCCAGGACTTGAACTGCAGTCAACAATGTGGGAGTTCAGCAATGTAACCATTATGCCCTATGCTGGTCTCATCCTCTGGTAGTTTTATACAACTGGACTGAGTCTTATCAGAGAGGCATTTTTGAATCCTAGAACATGAATGGTTGCAGTGTCTCCAAAGGCAGTTTCCTACCCAGCCTCTGTTCTGAGCAGCTCCTCTCCTTGTGTCCCACAGATGCTGCTAATGGAAACAGTAGCCATGGTGGGAAAGGCAGTGCATCCAGCTCCACTCCGGCCCGCCCTGGGACTTACTCTTTGTCACCAAGACCCAGCTGTGCACCAGGAGACCAAGGTACAGAACCCATCTTAACGTTTTCAAATAATGCACTTAATTAAGGTAGATGTGCTATGGATTTTGGAACAATGTGTTACCTAACAGCACACACTAGAGCTTTTCCCTTGTTTGTTGTACAATGTTTTAAAAGTTTATGGTTGATGTGAATGGGAATGTTTAAATGTCTTGGTAATTCTGTTGATACACGGATGAACCTAATTGGGAAATAATGTTGAATCAAATACTTAAGGAAATATCTTGAAACACCGTGAATTTTGCTGATGTTTCAAAGTTCCCTCATTGTGTAACCCTAGGCAAATCTGAGCCTTCCTTTCTCCATCTACAAATGGGTATAAAAATACTATCTGTCCGGGACCAACAGCTGGCGTAATGGTTATGTCACTGGACTCCCATGTAATTGACCACAGTTCGAGTCCTGGACCCAGTGGCTTAAACTCATGCCAGGAGTGTTAGCGTGCATGCCCAGGATCCCGAGAGGAAAGTGGAGGAGAAGGAATTGTGGCGTGGCCTTCCCCCCCTGGGGGGTGCTTTCTTGGTTTCCGTCTCACTGTCTCTCTCTGTCTTTCTGGCAAGCGCACACGCCCTACAGCGAAAGCCTCTTAAAAAACATATCTGTCCTACAACTTCACAGGATTGTTAAGAGAATCAAATGAATAATCTGGGTAAAATTATAAATGTAAACCAGCATAGAGATGTTAGGTAGTTGTTAGTGTGATGTTAGGTGTTGGTGTAGCTTGTGCTAACTTTATCTTTACCTCTAGAAGAGTGACTTGGACTTTGTATGGATAATAAGATGAAACGTCCTATATTATTTTGCCATTCTTTCCTTTCTTCCACATTGCGGAGAACAAAGGCATCTTTCTTTTTATCTTTAGCTACTATGTTTATTTCTGGGCCACCAAAGAAACGGCACCGAGGATGGTATCCTGGGTCACCTGTCCCTCAACCTGGTTTAGTTGTACCTGTCCCTGCAGCTCGTCCTCTTTCAAGAACTGGTAAGATTTTAACAGGAGATGGGTTTTAAGGCTTTTTTTTTTTTTTTTTTTTTTTTTTAAA